TTATGATTGTGGGGAATGGACACCTTTATTGATCTTATTTTTTTATGGTTGATTTATACTCTCTTCTCGTTGATTATTAGAGTCACCGGCTCCATATTCCAAGCACCAAGTATCAAAGAGCGATCATAATTTCATAATTACGGATGGCCCATGGTATGCCAATTTTGCATAGAGAAAATGCAAGTAAAATGGCATTTATTGTCAATGATCTCTTGTCTTACATGACACCAGGTCTCCTACAGTCCGAAGAACTTTTGATGTTGGAGATGTAACCAACCAACCAGCATGGTCATGCTTTGTAACAGAAGAAGCACGAGAAAGTATGAGGTCGCTGAGGTTTGCATTCTTATCTAATCTTGTTGATGGGCGTTTTGTTTGTCATTTGCTGTTCGTCATCTAAGTTGCTTTTATCTGTCTTATGACTTTCTGTGAACTTTTGACAGTGAAGAGTCATGCTCATCCAGTGCAGGTTATATATTGATGACATTAGATGATCATTCTAGTTTAATAGCCCTTTAAAGTTCTAATGAATATCCACTTTTCATTAATTCAGTGAGGAGTGAGGCAACCAGATATCCCCTAGCAAACTTGGTAAGTAAATGTAGTGGGAAGAGTATATATGCCAAAGAAACACAAAGCAAAAAGAGGGACATTCTCCAGCAAGGGGAGAATATGGGTGGACAAGGAACATTTACCAGCTTGGCTAATGCACCAAGTTTGGCTCCAGCTCATTACTCTGCCTCTACTTTCCAGACTAAGTCAGGTTCAGATGATGGTTGGTTGTTTGAAGGATATGCATCTGGTTCAGGGTCCAACATAGTGCATCTTCAGCTTCTCAGTTCTCCACTGAAGATACTTTTGGTGATTATCCGGTCCCCAAATTACATGTCGATGCCACAGCATCTTTTGAGAAAAGCAAACATGATGCCCCTGCTAAATATTCACCCTGCAACAGCTTTTTTCCTGGAAAGCTTGCGTTCCGCCAATCTCATAAGAACACTTCTTTTCCAAACACTAGGTCTGGGTTAAGCAAGCCAAAATTACTGCCAGACTTCAATATGGAATGCAGATCTCAGGATTCATTTCATGTCCTTGGTGGTTTGGGAGAAATGGAGTTTCCCAAGACAACTGTTCAAGGAAGTGTTTGTAAAGTTGGAGCAAAGACGTCAGAAATCCTGCCAACAGATGGTGGAAAATTTGAGCGAAAGGATGATGTTTGCAATTGGAGCCACAGCTTGTCCTCAGAAGCTGGAAAGGCAATGGAAGCCTCAGATTCTGTTAATAACTGCAGTCATTCCAAGGAACCAGAAGATGGAACTCCAGAAATGGAGACCCTAAAAGCAACTTGTTCTCCTGAAAATGCAGAAGAAACATCATCATCTGTGGACATCCTTGATAAATCTGATGGTAGCATTGATGAGAAGAAGTAAGACAATTTGAATTTGTGTTGTTCTGCACTTCTTACTTGCTGTAGTCTACTCAAGACCTTCATCACAAGACTTCCATTACATTTGTGAATTTCAGATATAGGAAAGATACCCAAGCTTCTGTTTCATGTCAAAATGGGTGTAAAGGTAGATTCCTTACTATTTTCTTGGTCCTTTTTTCTTGAACTGTTCTTTATCTTGCATTTGTTATTTCTCAGAAAGGTTGGAATCCACATCAGTTGAGTTTTTCATGGAAGGTCTACCTTCATACATTTTTGCAGATATGGAAATAGAAGAGTCTGGACCTATAGAAGGATTGAATGGAAGTAAAGGAGAAAAGAATAGTGGTGACCCATCTTGCCAGGTGATGATGCTTGAAAGCTATGTTTTGCAGCTTCTATGTGTGCAAGTACTGAAGGAAGCATTTGCACAGGGCATTGCCAAGAAGGTATGACAGTTCTTCACATTTGGTACATGAAGGATCTAATTGAAATAGAGAATGAACTAAAAGCAAAAGTTATCTTTGACTTGTTTCAAATGGATTTTGTGCCCTACCACTTTCTAAGAAGTTATAGAGATGTCTTTTATATGGCAACAAACTTGGCAATTGCAGAGGCATGAAATACCTCAGCCTGTCAAGATATTGATTGCACAATATGGTTTAGTATGCATTCACATTTCAGAATTGCATATTGATAGTGAGATCAAATGCCACACACATATAATTGTCTCGAACAAGCAACGAGATCAATAAAAGTAAACTAAACCACGATTCACAACATTTGAATACAAGATCTTTCTTCTATTAGGTACTAGTTGGTATAAGCGTGTGTTGAATGACAACTAGTTTAACATAATTTTTGTGAATAAATGAAAAATTATTCGTCATCCTGATATGAAACATCATAAGCAAGATATGTTGGTACACACATGTATATTTGAGTCTGTTTGTGTGCATTAAGAGAGAAGAATTATAGAGTTACGTTAATGAATTTGCAATTTAAACTTCTATCAATAAGAACAATAAACTCAAACACCAAATGAATGCTAATCAACTAAAAAAAGAAGCACCCTTGACATCGGACACAATAAAATTAAATATTTGAACAATAAACATATAGAGCTATATATTGAAATCTACCATAAAAAAACTTATGTTTTGAACTTCTATTGAATAGAGAACTCACTACTTTCTCATAAAGAGATGACTCTCTCTCTAGTTACTTTGACAAAGATAATTTAGTAGAAATAAAAAAATGTGGAGTATGTTATTGTGTCATAAAAAATATTAATAAAGTTAATGTTAATGTAGTTATTAAAGGGTAAATTATGTGTCTTCACTTCTCTATGATTTTTAATTAGTTTCTTGCTATGTATGTGTATATGCACATGAATTATTTTGAATTATACTTTTTGTTTCTATTTTTATTGTTATTTGTAAATCAAAATATGCGTGTTCAATTTTTCACTTTATTTAGGAATATTATTTGCCACTATTTCAATTTCTATCAAAAATAGATTGATATGCCACGAAAACTTAGGGGTCGTGCGGTAACGTTTTTGTTTTTGCGTCTTCAAAAAAATAAAAAACAGAGACAATTTTTGTCTCTGTTTTGTGGTAAATACTGAAACAGAAAATATGTTTGGGAGTCATTTGTGTATATTAAATTATGAGAATAAAAACATGTTAATTGAAACAGAAAATATGTTTGGGAGTTATTTGTGTCTATCAAATTATGAGAATAAAAACAAAAAACATGTTTGGTAACTACTTCAAGTTATATCCTTAAGTCTTCTGTTTTTTCTTTCAATAATAATATTGAGACTTAACAAATTGAATTAATTTGATAAATTAATGATATGGTTTACAGTCCCAAATGCCAATTCAATCCCAAATGACAATTAAATCAATTCCAAGTGGACAATTTAATCCCAAATGACAATTCAATCAATCCTAAATAGTAATTAAATCAATCCTTTGATTTTTTTTGACATTTCTTCAAGATTTTCATTGATATGTTTGTTTTTTGATTTGTTTTTTTGAATTGATCATGAATTCTGATCAATTACAGAGGAAAATTCCCCCAAATTCGCCTGATTTGTTAGAAATTTTGCATCACCGTCTTCGAGTTTCTTTAAATCGTCGAACTCTTCTGAAATGGATCCTAGTGTTTGTAATTTTTCCCTACCTGTTGTGAATTCGTTTGGTCATGGAAATCCTTCCTCTATGCCTCCCAATTACCTCCTGTACTCTCTAAATTCGTTGAATCCACAAATTCCTTTGAATCCTTCGATTTCTTATTTGATGTCTCAAGATTACTTAGTTTCTCAGCCTCCTTTGTTCTCGAATATTCCTTCAACTTCTTAAGACCCTTCGTCCTCTCAACACACACACACACACACACACACACACACACACACACACAGACTCATCACTCACGTACACAGACTCAACACAACACACACGCGCGCACAGATCTGTGCATATATATGCACAGATCTTTTGAGTTTTACAGAGAACGAGAGTAAGACAGAGAGAGAGCATCGTCTTGTTTTTGTTTGTCTGAGGGATCGATCTTCGTCTGAGGTCTTCATCGTCTGTGTGTGTGTGAGAGAGAGAGAGAGAGAGAGAAAATATACCTTTCAAAGTGTTTTTATAGTAAACCCAAAAAAAACCCTTCTTGTTGTTGCTAATGGGATTTAAATAGGGGATCTCATTAAATAAGGATTATGGAGCGCGTGTTTCCAAAAAGTGTGTTTCCTAGAACATCTTTTTTTTGTTCCTTGTTTTTGGATCTTATTTTCGAAACATATTTTTTTTTATATAAAACAGAAACACAATTCCAAAAATGTTATTGTTTTTGTTTGCCTAAAAAAACAAAAACAAAAATGCCAACCAAACATTCTCTTAGGTTCTTCATGACTAAAGTAGTACTTTAGTTTTTGAGTACGAAATAACCAACAAACTCATGAGGTATATTACACTATGAGCACTGATTGCTTTCAAGAATTGGGTTGGACTGAATGCATGATGAACATCACTTTTGTCAATTATCTTTTTTTTTGTTTAGGCTTCTGTTACGTACAACTAAAGGGTTTATTTGTTGCTCGACAAAAATTTGTAATGGAAGTTGAATAGGAGACATTGAAAAATTACACGTCTAAATGTGTCAAGGTTACAAGCAGCCGAGACTTTCAACCTATATTTGGTTTTGGTTGAGGATAAGGTTCAGGGAAGAAAAATAATTTACATGTTTGAAGAAATAGAATTACGTGGTAATTTTTCACAATAAATTTTTGGTTCACTTGATTTTAAAATAGATAGTATCACTCTGGCACCTTGTTAAGGTCTATTGAGTAGTTGACATTTTTCTGCAAAATATCTAATAAAAAATATAAGTTTTTTTTTATATTATGTCTAGTAAGAATAAATGTTAATTTACACTTAAGAGGAAACCACCTTGATGTAATTTTTTGGCCCTGCAATTTACTCATCTTTTCCCTCAAGTTAAAAAGGGCATAAATTATTAGAAATTTTCCAAAATGCTAAATTTGGTATTCAAGAATAATAGGACATGTTTGGTTTGCGTCGCTAAAAACAGTGTTCGAAAATAATTTTTTAGAAGAATTTTAGAAAAGTGTTTTTGAGACGAAGAATTTGTTTGGTTAGATATTTTCAAAAATAATTTTATAAAATAAAAAACAGTAAAACTTATTTGGAGAGACAATTTCATATAAAATTATTTTAATATATTAAATTGATAAAATAAAATTAAAAAAAGAAAAGAAAAATCAAGATCTGAACAGTAAAAGAAAAACCGAGATCTGAATAGTTGTTGGAGAACTTAGATTTGAACAATTGCCGGAGAAGACAAAACAAGAACTGAAACCTAGATTTGAAATTCACATCAAAGAAGATGATCTCATCGTTTGAGACCTTTATAGGTGTGAATGCATCCTTTCTTTCTGATGTCCTAGATCTCTAGATTAGTGTTCATGGAACCAGATGCAAAAAACTCACCAAATGGGTGAAATTTAACAACAATACAATTGGATCTGTGTCCATTAAGAGTGCGCACCAGTACACTTTATGAAGTATCCCAGTCGTTGGAGAGCTATCAGTCGTCAGAGATGATTTTATCACCACTCATTTCTTACGGTTTTGTAGAGAGAGAGAGAGAGAGAGAGAGAGAGAGAGGGACAAAAAAAAGGAGACAAATGGCAAAAATAAAAAACCTTTTATAGGAAGAGTTTATTTGTTGCTAAGAAGGTTTGAAGGGAATACCTGTTTAATGAGATAATCTGTTCTCCGTGTTTCCTTCTTTTCCTCAAAAACACTCGAAAACAATACAACCTTGTTTTCTGTTTTTGTGTTTCAAATCTTATTTTTTTTCAAAAATTTGAGAACAAAAATGTTAAGCAAATAGGGGCCTGTTTGATTTGCGTTTCAAAAAATAATATCCGAAAATAGTTTTTGAGAAGAGTTTTAAGAAAGTGATTTTGATATTTTTTGAGAAAAAAAACTTGTTTGGTTAGATAATTTCAAAAACAATTTTACAATATAGAAAATTGTAAAACCTATTTGAACAATATAAATATGTATTTGAACAGTAATTCAAACATTAATAAAAAAAATATACAAAAATTATTTTTATATTGACAATTTTATAATATATATATATAATATCTATACAATAAAACAGGAATGTGTTTGAATTTTATCTCTGTCATATTTTTCTCTCAAAATTATCATCAATCACTTATCTCACCCATCATCTTTTTGTCAGACTTAAACGTCAAATCACATCACTCATTTGTATCACATGTTTAATCATTTATATATTTTCTCTTTAAAAATATCACATCACTCATTTTTATCATATACCTAATCATTTAATATATATATATATATATATATATATATATATATATATATATATATATATATATATATATATATATCTGAAAGTCCAAAATTATTCTCTTTATTTCCAACATTTTCAAAAAAAACTCTGAAAACAAACTATACTTGTTTTATGTTTCTTTGACTTAAATCTCATTTTTTCTTAAAATTTAGAGAACAAAAATATTAAGCAAACAGGTTTTGAGTGTTTTTAAAATTTTGAGAACAAAAAATAATTTTCGGAAATAAAACCAAACACGCCCATAGTTTTATTATGAGAACCTGTTAGGTATTGGTTGTATCATGCCATAAGTGGAATTTTTTCGTCCTTAGTATATATATCTATATGTAACACCAGGCAGTATCTCAGTTTTCAACAATTGTAGGAAGCTATAAACCTTTACCTAACATAGTAACATAGTAACATAGTAAGATGTATATAGTCTTACACACAAAAGCCTTTGGCATGCCATAGTTCAAATATTGGGGGAGTATTATATTATTGAACTTTTTTATTATATATTCTACTTATATTCATACTCTATAAAAGT